GCTCTTTTATAAATAATGGACATTAAATCGACATTTCCATTGAATTTCATCAAAAAGATTTAACTAATGCCCTTTCGGCTTTTTGTTATGCTATGTTAATATACCCCATTCGTGGCTAAGTTACGAGGTATAGAAAGTGTGACATTTTTGAACAATGGGAACAACGTCGGCGTGGGCGTCAGTGGCAACATGAAAACATCACGAAAAGTACAACAACAACAAGAAATGCCGTTTACAGGATAACAAAAGAATGCCAGGATAATTTGTACAGTAGACCCATGATTATGCACATGTGTTGTGCACTTGTGTGCATTTCACATTTACGCATATTTGTTTGAACGATTTCAAAAATATACGAAATTCTAGCACAATCTACAAAAAACAAGGAACATTATTGATTGCGATTGCAATTTGTTGACTTATAACAGAGTTATGCTTAATATTCTGTAAGACAACAGAACAGCTTGAACTTAACCTAAATTTGTAACTAACTTATTCAATACATAGATTCACAATAGCCTGAACATAACCTAGAAATATTTGTTTAACAACAGTTGAACTTAGTTGTTGGCTACTCTGAAATGTCCGCTAATCTGTGATCTTTATTTCGAAAGGTTGCCAGAACTAGAGATTCACAAAGCATCAGAAGAGTAGAAACAACAATTGATTAAATATTTCTGGCCCCACTGTGCAACGTGTGCTGTTTACTGGCCGCGGGTGCTTTTGCAGCTTTTGAATCGCTTAATAAAAAAAAAAAAAGAAAACCATGTTATTCAGTTCACGACCTTGCGACCGCTTCCAATGATGTGCTTGGGTAATCTTGGCGTTTGGGCGCGTGAATGTCTGCAAATGTCGATGTTACGTCAACAAGCCTCCGGGCTTGTTGGGCCGGACTTGGAAATGTGGCCGTATGTGTAGACACTTAATTACTTCCTTTTGAAATGCATAGAACTATATTTCAAAAAAATGAAAATGCCATCTTTCTAATATAGTGCATATAGCCAGTTGGGTTAGTGCAGCTCTCACTTACTTAGCATTTTTCCACTTCTCAATCTCCCCCCCACTCACTATGCTAAAAAATTGCTTGATTCGCAAAATAATAGCTGCATGCAGCACGTTGTGATGTGTGTGTTTGTGACTATGTACACACTTGTCCATGCGCTTAAACACACACACGCACACACACACACATAGATCTAAAATATGCCATAATGCACAAAGGCTGTTTAGAAAGTCAGTTTGATTTGAAAATTCGGTTTTGGCTCCAAGTTCTTTGTTGTAGTTTGGAAGTTTTCGCATTAATTGAATTTGAATAAACTAAAGCTTGGCACACAATTCAAGATTGTTGGTTCCAATGTCGCATGTGGGCGCAAGGGGGCGGGGCAATCAACTTAAGCACATTGACATAGCTGAGAACGCATTTGAGCTGATTCCCTCGGCCCGACCACTTGACCGCATCTGACAGTTTTGCAGCTATTGGCAGTGCTCGAGGCACCAAGTGGCCATGTGCAAGGGATATATTGAACGATTGAACGGTTGACTGACAGGCAAAATGCGGTGAATATGACATTAGGTCAATTACTTACCTGGCTAAAAGCCGCAATATAATCATTTTAATTCGAGTTAATTTTCAAAAAAAATAAAAAATAAAGGAATATGAAACACACGCGATTCGCAGCACCCGAAATATAAGTTACGAGCTGAAGTAATCCATCACAATTAGCGTACTTAATGGTAATTGAGTATGATGCGCTGGCCAAAACTTGCGCTCGTTGTTGCCAGCTTGCCGTCTAAATCCCGACAAGGTGGCTGAGACAAGCCTAAGTCGCTGCTGGCTTTGACTCTGGCGTTGGCCATTGAGTCTGGCATGCGCAAAGCATCCATCAAACCAGCAGTGTGGTTGCAACATGCAACGCGAAATGTGTCCATTACCCTTGCCTGTGACTGTTCAATCCATCACTGTACGGCCCCGGCACAGATCTCGCACACACACACACACGTGTACGTTTATGGCCATAGGCATTTTTACCTTAATACTTATGACAGGCCCACACGAACACATACATACGTTCCGCCCAAGACATTTCGGTCATTGTCTGCGTGATGCTTGCTGCACATTAATTATTTCTGAAAACCCTTTTTTTTTTAAATTTCCCTTTAGGCGTGCGCTTGCCTAAGTCAATAAGTAATATTACATTTTATTTTTGCATACATTATTTTTATTTAAATATTCATTAACAGCCCCGCCATTGACATGAACAAATGTCGTTTGAATAATTAGTAAACGCATGCATCAAACTATTTGGTTTTTAGCAGAAGCTTGTCTGAAAAAAACTTGTCAAAAACTACTATTCAAAGAAATATCTTGCTTTATTTATGTTATTAATCTATTAGCTACGATTTCTGGTATACTTAATAATATTCTTGTTAGCAGTACTAAACCACATAATTCAAATTTAAAAATAACTGCCAACTTGACTTGCTTTAGCGCTGCCATTTCTAACACTATCGATAGGCGTTCTCTTAAGGTATCGATAATCAGCATTGATTACGCAAGCAACGGGTTTTGCTGTTATAGAAAATGGCGATCATAATTTCACAGTGTGGAGTGCAATATCCTGTCAATCTGCCGTACAGAGTCTTTTTATACCCTCAACCCAATGAAAAGGGTATATTGGTATTTGCGCAAATGAATGTAACAAACATAAGAAGGCATCCCCGACCTCATAAGGTATATATATTCAGTATCAACAGCCGAGTCGATCTAGCCATGGCCGTCTGTCTGTCTGTTTGCCCGCCTGCTTAAACATATCGACATCGGAAACCAATAGAACTAGAGATACGAAATTTTTAGCATATCATTGATAATGATAATCAAAGTAAAACTTAATCGATATCGAAATCATTTATTTTCAGCAATACTCAGAGCTTATAAGAGCTGGAGACACCAAATTTGATATGTCGACTCCCGTCAAGAATTAAAAACTTATTCTATTGAGGAGTATTGGCTTGAGGTTTGAATACCCTTTTTATGTCCTGCCGCTTGCATAAAGATCGGACAATAGACACCGAAGGAAGCTTTTGGTATAGTGTATGTTGAAGAATAGAAGAAGCAGAGCCTTGGCGTAAGCTGCGTGCGTGTGTGTGTTTTTGTGTATGTTTATGTAGAAGGAAGCTAAGCTGTTTGATGCGGCAGCCTAGCGCTGTGTTCAGGGCATCTCCAAGTCGAACACTCTTAACTAAAGCACCATACACATTTTCTTTGCTGATTCGATGAAAGTAACCACAATATATTGTACTCACAATACTTTTGACTTAATCTTTTGAGCAATTTCCTGGCAAATATAGTGATCCTAGCTTAGGTGTGCCTAAACAATTTTTGATTTGATCTTTCGCCTACCCACAAAGCTAATATACCTCTGATCACCTTCTGAATAATAACAACTTAAATACATCAATGAATTCACCTTTTTGATGAGTCTTTAGCCATTAGAACCCCCACATCAATGGATGAAATCATCTCAAAGGAGCTCACTTCTAAAATAATTGCGCTATGCGGTACATAGATTCTGAGTTTAACATTAAGGACACGAAAATGGACTTGAATGCTGAGTAATAAGCTGTCTAATGACTCCTTCGCATGAAAATCGATGTTCCTTGAGCTCTTTCAGATCGTTGATTAAAATTAAGCTGTTGCCATTGGCATCAATAACAATTCGATTCTTCCACCCGTTTTGAATTCCATAGATCATTTTTAGTGTTAGGCATATAAATAGTTTGTCAGTTTATTCAATAAAAATGTTCATGCGATCTACCGAAGGGTTCATCATTTCATCAACCGCATTGATCAGTTACTTATGAGATATGGCAGGGAGGCGTCAGTAGATGCGTCCCCTCAAAGGATTTAAATATAAATACACTATTTTCACAAAATGAGCGATCGTTAAATTGTATAAAAGAAACATAGGTATATGTATGTATATATATTTTTTTGTGTATACCAGAGAGAAGTACTAAGCTAAGCAACTTAAAGTCAAAGACATATCCTCAGACAGACTTTATTGTTTTGCAGCTCCACGTAAGAAGCATTAAATATCTCACGTTCTCTATTACTCTCTCTCTCTCTCGTTATCTCTCTGATATCTCTAGAATTCGTGACAGATTTGCGGCCGTGTTCAGGATCCTAAGAGAGCAAATGTTTTTGATCAGCAGCAGCTAGCTGCTTTTATAAGCTTTTTATTAACAGATTTCTAAACTCTGGCACCTGGCACCTGGCTGCCACTTCAATTGGAACCAGAATTCTCCAATTCACCCACTAAAATATACATGTAGCTCCAAAGCGAGCAGTGAGAACAATTGAAATCTATTTGAGAAAATTGTAGCAAACAATGCGTTCTATTTGTTATCTCATGCTTATCACATCATAGTCAATATGCTCAACCAAATTTTAGACGAATTACATTTTTCTTTTCTTTTTTTTGCGGTGCTGTTGCCCAAGCTCGTACTTATAGATTTTGCTCAGCCAGTCAACTGCATTTGTATTATCTCACTTAGGGTTATCTTAGCGATAGTATCTGAAAGTAAAACAAAATATGGCATTAGCATGGCCAGATTGAAGAAATCGATATGATTGCATTTATCTATAGCCCTGTGTCTGAGGTGGTTTCTTTCGCTGAACTCTGAACTCTGAGAACTCAAGCCCAAAAGAAGCTCGTTGATAATCGCGGCATAATTTACTGTCTGGCACGGTAAATTGAGTCCGCATTATGTTCAGCTAATATGTGTAATATATGTACATCTGTCCTGCTTTGTGCCGATGTCCGGATGCTGGAGTTCCGCGTTATACTTCTTGATTCGTCTGAGCTCTGAACTTGGTTTTACGAGCATTATCTTTGTGTACGCAAAACCAGAATAAGAAATTTTTCTCAGATTCTACCAATTGATCAGATATATATGTACATATACGTTTATATATATATACAAATGTATATAATTTTGCCAGCAAAATTTTATTGAAATATTTTAAAATTTGTTGTTTTTGTTTTGTTGTTTTGGTTTTTTTTTGGTTACGTCGCACCAGACAGTGAAATTATAGTAAATGCATAAAAATGTTCATAGGTATACATATAAAAAAGTATTGTATTTTTTAATGCCTGTATATACACACACACACCCACACACACACAAATATATATGCACGTTCAGCTACATATGAAAATAGATGCATATATGTTGATGAACTGTCTCTTACGTAGTACAGCTCACTTATCTTTACATATCGATGTTGTGTATCTGTGTGTGTGAGTGCGTGAGTGTGTGTACTTGTAGGTATTTTGATGTACTCCCTTGTGAAAAGATTTCTTCTAAGTGAGTAGATCCCATGGATTTAGAAGCCTCTTTTCCAACTCTTTGGCAGTTGCATGTAAATTACATACTTATGTGTATAAAATGGTAAAAAATGAGTCAAAACTTATTCAACTAAAATGATATAAGGCAGAAGGGAGTTGAATGTAGAGAGAAGTGAAAACAAACAACATACAATACAGGATGTTAGATAAGTTAGTTGGTGAAAGAAAATTATAATGAATAAAGAAAAAAGTGTACATAACGAAAGAACTGCCTTATATTAGAATGTATGTATGTTTGTACATATGCATGTGTTGTATAGCATTTGGTTTTTTTTTATCTTTCTTCATATATTTGTGTATATGTGTATTGATACATACATATGTATGCAAGCATGTATGTCTATAGCAAAATATTGTAATTTGCTAGATTGCTAGTGAAAACATAAAAACATATACATATATTAAATTTTGATCTGTTTTTTTTTTGCTTTCATATTTTATTTTGTAATAAATTTTAATTGGTTTTTGAATGTTGTCGTGGTTGTTGTTGCTTATTTTGGTTTTGTTTTTTATTTCATTATGGTTGTATTACGCTTAGTTGTTATTTTATATGATTACTTAAATTATTTTAGACCACATTATGGACCATACTATCCAATTGGCATCTTACAGCTAAGTTATTATTATGTTATTCTCCTCAGCCTCATACATATGCACGTATGTATGTATCTATATACATATTTCAAGAATGTCTTCATAGTGTGAAGCTCCATACAATTCAGTTGTATTTGTTTTTTTTTTATATATTTTTGTTGCTGTTTTCTTTATCTGTTTTTTTTTTTTTTTAATATTTGTTTATTATTTAAGTTTATTAACAGTTAACAGTTCTTTAGAAATGGTTTCAAAAAGTTTATTATAATGAACATTTTTCTTTCTCTCCAATATTGTTGCTTTTCTAATATTCCTTGACAAACATACGGTGTGAGTGTGAAATGTGTGTAAATGTGCTCACGAGTACACGTGCTCACTTGTGTGTGTGTGTGTGTGTGAGTGTCTGTGTGTGTCTGTGTGTGTGTTTGTGTGTAGATTCATACCAAACTTCTGATGGGCCTGCTAGCGCTTATTCCTTTCCATCATTTAATAATACATACCAATATATGAACATGTTCTTATGCACATACTACATGCGTATGGTCGTAATTGCCAGTGTGTACATATATAAATACATATTTAAATATGAATCGCAACAATTGATGGATTAGAAATGCTCAATTCCATTTGAACAATATACTTATATAATAAATATTTACATAAGTATATTGATTTTGTACTGTTTTTAAAAAATTGTATAATTGTATTTGATCTTGCTATAGAATATTTCTGTATTAGATTCCTATTATAATTTGCTAATGTGTAAGTCGACTGTACGAATTGATTATTCTCACTTTATTTTTGTTTCGACCATCGTTCCAATAGTTTAATAGATTAAGGAAATTCTGATCTTGCGCTATTTCCGACAAAAAAAAATTATAGTTACTCGCTGATTTTTATCGGCGATCATTGGAATCAAAATCTAATATATATATTCATATATAAGCAACAGATTTAAATTCGTTTTCACTTTTAATTTTTTTTTGTTTCTTTTTGAGCGGCAAGCATTAGGATTCCGGATCAGAAGTTCGGTCAGCCAGCAGTTCAGATAAAAACTGAGGACCATCAGCAGCATTTTGGGTTAAGCACATATTGTTTATATATGCGATATGTGAGATTTGAATGTTTATTATTTTTCGTTTCATTTCATATTTCATATTTTTTGTTATTTATTTTTTGTTTTTGTTTTTGTTCTTACTTCGTTTTGGACTAAGTATGTAATACGTACATAAGTATATTGCGAATGGGTTGTTGTGAAGGTGTTAAAACGGTTATTTTTGTGTATTCTCATCTATATGTTGCGCGTTTGTTTCTGTGCCTGTGTGTGTCTGTTGTGAGTGCGCATGTTTGTGTGAGTGTTGAGCATCCATTGACATATAAATTCATGTTAAATTCTTGTATTTAATTCAAAATATTATTGTTGTTCTTTGTTAATGTTGTTGCTGTTGTTCGTTAACATTTTGGCAAACTGCGTATTTAAGTTTGATCTCTAGATAACAACTTATTGTTTTTTGCTTGTTGCTTTTCAATTATCATTATTATTTTGCTTATATTTTGTATTTATTCAGATCTCCTGTGTAACGTTTCTTATTTGTAAGTGTCTAATTCATTTATTTAAATATTTAGCCTATTTACTTATGCAATCAGGGGACACACACAAACATACATACTACTTATGTTCATCAATCATCTGCTTGTGTATGTATTTTAAGAGTGTCTGTGTGCATGTGTGTGTGTGTGTGTGTGTGTGTGTGTGTGTGCGTGCGTGTGTGTGTCTGTATCAATAACAATACTTTTAATCAATGTATCTTAGATAATATCATATTTAGCAGTTGATAACGACTGCACTTGTCACAATAAAACCCAATCAATATCATTAAGAAGTTTACGTACTTAATCAATTACTTATTCAGTAATACTATATGTTAGTATGCATATGGAGACACATCATACGCATGCATGTGCCCCTTGAGCACGTACACATATGCACGCATGCAATTATACACACTTCGAATCAATTTGAGTCACATGCTGTCTTAGGGATAGTCACTTACAAGATAATTACAAATTTCATATTTTTTGCTTTTCTTTTTCTTTTAAGTTTGTATTTTGATGAATTACTAGATTCCCGAAGGTATTGTTAAACTTCATTTACATTGTACACACTTAAATATGTATCCAAATATGCAAGTGTAATTAGCTGCATATAATTATGTTTAGTATACCAGCATGTGTGTGCTTGTGTGCGTTGGCGTGTGCGTGTGTCTAGTGTGTATGTATTCGTATAGTTAAGAGTACTTAGTATAGTTATGAATGCTTGTAAATTGTCTTCTTACTTTTCACACTATTTAATATGCACATGCTTATATGCATACGTCATGTAGATGATTCTTCTAGGTTTGTGAATTCCCCAATCAAAATTGTTGCCTATATACTATATGATTTTTATGAGTTCACCGTAATTTTTCTGGGTATTTCAGTAAATTTTCTCAATGCTTTGGCTATGCCAAGCGCTCCCCACAATTGCCGTGCATACATGACAGACAACTGTACATACATATCTGTACATACATACAAATACATATATAATATATGCACATATATTATTGGGTAATCCTGACATGCATTCAATTTTATTTACTAACGAGAACAAAGTCGTGCACATTACGAACAAACAAACAAATATTTTGGATTTGTATGCCTCATGTTGTCGGTAACTCTATATGGAGAACACAATTTCGAGCTCTTCGCGTTCGGAAGTATATTCAAAAATGCTACGAAAATTGTCTGAAGCCATTCTACATCCACCTATTGTAAGGATGTTCCCCCCTTTGTAACACGTGGGCGATCTGGCTGGCATCAGTGGAGGAAAGATTTGATGCGGATCGTTGTCATCCAAGAAAGCTCAGCCAAAGTCAGAGTGGACGATGGCTATGAGAAGACCATCGAAGGCACTTTCCTTATCACCTTTGAGAAAGTCGCTAATATCAATGGCACCCAATTTACAAAATCCATATAATAACTGGAAAATAAAGGCGCCAGGCTCAGTCACCACATCCCTGCCAAAAATCATTCATTTGAATGAAGGTTTATAGTACGTCCGAAAATTTGTAAAGATGAACACTTTTGTCTTAATTTAAAAAGAACGCGACTTGGCCGTTTGGCTTTGTAATTGGGATAATGAAAGATGGAAATGTATGTATAGAGCCCAACGTGGGTCATGAATTAATAAATAGTTGTTATAATCCTAAATCCCCACCAATATATCTTTGATTAGAACGTTTTTATTGGATTCGGTTTGGGGGAATAAGTCCCAAATACTGGCGACTTATATGTTGCGACTTTAATCTACTTATAATTGACACTAAGAAACAATTCTGCGGGTGTGGAAGGGACGTTTTGACTCAAAACATGCCAAGTGCATATTTTTGGTTGGCTCATACAAATATATAAAACATACATATGTATGTGTACATAATACATATGTAATATATTCGAAATTGTGCATACTTATATGCATAGACATTCTTATTTATATTTATATTTGCTCAATATGCCTGTTAAAGTATATGCATTTCAGTTATATTTTTATTGGATTCTTGAATATGCTCAATTTGATCTACAACTAGCTATGTATGTATTTACATATGCTAACATACTTTGTTTTTATGGCTTATATTCTCGAGTTCTGACAACATCCATCCAATTAATGTACTAACTAATGAAACTTTGTTCCATCTGTGACCAATCTTTGAGCAAGCACTTGGCCTGGGTTATCTACGAGTTTGCATATACTTATACATATGTTTGAATGAATGTACTTATCTTAATGCTTATGTATATGTGAATTTATGTGTTCATTTTTAATTCGCTCTTTAACTAATTATACTACTAGTCGTCAATGGGCTAGCTAGTGTACATACCAAGTGTTAGTCCGTGCAGATGATTTTAGAAATTATGAAATTTTGATTAACATTCAACATATGACCAAAAAAAAAAGAAAGCTGAATAGCACCGCATGCTTGCAGCACATACGTGAAATCTGTTCGAAAGCTTAGTTTCATTTCATTCTAACGTATGACTAACTGGCGTTTTAAGTGTATCAGTAAATATATATTTCTGCTTTTTCAGCTCAGAGTTCTTGAAAGGGTAGAGAAATTGATTTCGAAAGTTTGGTAATCCACAACATAACCTTAAAACGCCTTTCAATCTGTTTTTTCATCTTCTTCATTTTCTTCAATTTCACACAATCATGTTATGAATACCTGCGATTATCTAGCATGAACCGTTACGATTAAGTCACGCATAATATGTCTATAATTGTTATTGTTACAGATTGTTACTTATGCTTTATCATATTTTATTAACTGTTTGCCTTATCATAATAAAACGCATTATTCCTATTATAATGGTTATCCATTAAGTTATTCAATGTGAATTGATGGCACCCGGCCTCAAAATCTATCAGTCGTTATAAAATTTGCCCATATCAAGGGTAACTTTAGCTGCACATGACACAGGTGCACAAACAGTATCATTTAATCTGGATGTATGGTATTAATGCATATACATATGTATATCTGCATCAGCATCATAGTCTCTAGCGGCAGATCCAGAGACTAATACGTATGTAAATACGACATGCCTATGTACAATGGTTGGCAATGTGCATTACATAGATCAAACTACGGCAAAAAAAAAAAAAAAATATTTCCCAATCTGGAAATAAATTCTCTCTTTTCGCACACATTGCACAGATTTGTCTCTCAAAATTTCATAATACACGTTCACCTCTTGGCTTCTGCATATATCGCAGCTAGAAAGCTATCGATAGTTTTAAATAGGTCTATTATTGAATTCAATCTGTTTTTGCTTTTTTTTCTTTTTGCTTTTTGTTTTGGGTATGTAAGTGCTTTCAAAAGACATTTACTATATATTATTTCCCAGCTCTGGTTTTCATACATATATAAAACAAACATATGTATGTTTATATATATGTATGCGTGTGTAGGTATTTACAATTATTACATTCATTAGAATTATGTTGAATTTATCAGGCGTCGCCGGCACGTCTGAGGTACTTATGTATGTACATACTAGTATGTAATTAAGTATAAAAATTGTTAAATTCTAATTCACATGTAAGTGCATATTCGCATGTCTGTCTGTCTGCATGTATGTATGTATATATGTATGTATGTATGTATGCATGCATGAAGTTCATCATATGATGGCATATGTATGTCTTGTATGTATGTACATGTATGTGTGTATGTGAGAGTGCAATGACCTACATATAATCAATTAATTGGTTGTTTGGTTTAGCTCGCATGGCGTTAACTTTTTTTTTAAACTTTACATTTATCCCATACTATGTATAACTAGGTGTGTATGTACGTAATTATATACGAGTATGTATGCTATTTGTTATGTTTTCACTTCATTTGTTTTTAATTCATTATTTATTTTTAAACCATGTATGCATATGCTAGAGTACTGCGAGTACCAAAAGTCTGACTGAATCGTATGATTTGAACGCTTGCCTGTCTCTGCCAGCCGTTGGGTTTGGCCAGAAAACGGAAGAGCTTTGCGAGTTTACTTTGGTGATGCTGTGGATGCAGCTGAAGCTAAAGATGTTTGAACTGTCAATGCTTATATTCCGGGTAGCAGCCATTCTCGGTTATTTGACCGGATTGACTGTTGTTGCTGCTGCTGGTATCGACCGATTGCTGATGCTGCTGATGCTGCTGCTGCTGCTGCTGATGATGATGCTGATATTGCTGATGCTGATGCAATTGCAGCTGATGGAGCTGTAATTGCTGTTGGCTTATGGCCGCCGTGTCTGCCGATTGTGATTGCAACGTGCGGCGCGTAAGTGGCTGGATAACACTTCCACTGCTTTCCGTCTCCGTTGAGGGTGGCGAGGGGTAATAGTCCCTCTGACTTACATTTATACCATTTGGGACGACTGCCATACCCATTATAGAGTTGTTGCTGGCTGCCGCCGCCGCCGCCGCAGCTACTGCCGCTGCGGAGGATTGATGATCGCCGTGGTGCTGGTGCGGATGCTGATGGTGTATAACGTTGTTCGTTGTAGCTACCGACATGGGCGCGACGCCGCTGGATGGTTGGGAATCCGACATTGTGCCGGATTGCGGCTGGTCCAATACCACGACGGATACCACATCCTCACTCGCCCACCGGGCTAACTGTTGTTGAGCTTGAATAAAGTCATCACTAGAAAATAATAATCGTAACAGGAACAACGGTACATGGTAAGAACACTAGGGGGGCTCATCAGGACTCAGGACCATAGGCTGGGACTGGTGCAAGCACATTGGCCTTTTATGCACAAAGGGCGGCAGATCAAAGCACAGTCGAAACTGAATGGAATTTGGCAACCATTTTCCTAGCTTATGTTTACTTGAAAAATCCTCACGAACCAGACAGAAAACTGGAAAATAGTGCTCATAAATGCAATTATTTGGACTCTGAGATCAAAGACGCTAACAGATTATTATGTACATGCATACATGACACAGAATAGAGATGGCGGGATTCGTTTATAAGCAACAACAAAAAAATTTCAATAGCATAAATTTTTTACTCCGAAAAATAAGGTATAGGTTTTATTATAATTTCTGCGACGCACCTTGAAGTATGCTAAAGGATAGAATTTGTTTAGACATTTTAAGTAAATGAACTGTATGTATCTTAAAGTAAAATATGGGACATACTATTTAACAATAGAGTTATATCGAATCGGAATAGTTTTCCATTGAACTACTCACTAAACGGACTGAACAAGAATCTGACTCAAAGGCAAATTAGGCAGATAATCAAAGGATCCGGCTAAAATAACAGAAAAGAAAAATATGGCAACGCTGCGGAAAAGAATCTAGGACAATAAATAACTGTAAGACCAAGCGAACAGCACGATGAACGGCTTACGCGCTCATCTCTAAAACTGGATCTCATGTAGCCACAGGCTGCAAAATAAGCTGTAACCAATCGAGAGAGCAATCAAAGGATTGTCGATATTATTAAAATGGGGGGTCTGCTTGGGTTGCGAATGGGAGGCGATTGGACGCGACATTTATATTTATATATATATCTATATCTATATATATATATATATATGTATATATGCATATTTATATATATATATATATATATATATACATATATGTATGTGTGTGTAGGTGAAGAGACGGAGACTTACCTTTCGCTCTCGGGCGTCTCCTGTTGATCGAGTCGCGTGTCGAGAACGCCGCGCTCATGATGATCGGCGCTCTCGTAGATGCCCTCATCGTCCTGGTGCAGGTGCGTGTGCGACGAGTGGTGCGATGAGTGTGGACCGTGTGTGGCATGTCCGTGGGCGTGCGAATGGTGTGTATGGTGTCCGAATGCATGGGGAGAGTGCGACTGATGCGTTGTATGGCGGCCAGTGGGCGCCGGCTGACGGTAACGTCCGCCGTAGGCAAAGCGCGTATCCTCATCAGAGCGGGGCCGGCAACGGCTGCTGTAAGACGGGTGAATTGTAGCTGTTTTCTGAGATTGAGCTGCTTGCTGGTTCGAGCTGGCGGTGGGCAAAAAGCAAAATCCAATCAAAGACTCTTTTTAGCATAGTTAAAGCACAATAAAACGAAAAACGGGATGGGCGGATAGGGATATGGGGATAACGAGACCGAGACCGAGACCGAATATATCACAGCGGAGGTTACGACAGGTAACGACAGATGAGCTGCTCACATATCGTAAATACATCAAAAGAAAAGAGAGTATGTTTAAAAAAATTACCAATAACAATTTCATACTTGTGAAGTTTTTTAATGGGTATATATTTGGTAATCAGTCAGCAGACAGCGAACCCTGTTTTGTATCTTCTGTATCTGACTATATTTAAAGGATTCAATTGGGGTTTGAGAACCCGTGGCTTTACTTTCTTTAAAGGGGAACTACTTTGTTTTTGTACTGTAGGCGTGGCAACGCTTATGAAACCAACCTTTATCACACAAGATATTCCAGTCTGAAGCCTGCAAGAAATGCGAATAGAAAGTTGCGTTGGCTAAAGATCGATATAAATATCTGCAGTCCAAACGGACCACAGCATAGTACATGCTCATCTTGGTTTGTAGATAGTATGTGAGTGTGTGTCTGTGTGTTGTGTATTGAATGTTTATGCGGTTGTTCCAGTTGTTGTTCTATGTTGCAACAATGTCGGCGATGTTATGAAGAATGTTAAAGCCATATATAATTTACGCTATACCATTAACAATGTGAAGCAATTGGGCTACATTTGATCAGGTTATAGATTTTTGAATAGGTTAATTTTAAGTTTGAACTGAATGATTGATAAAACGAGTACAAATAATACTTATTGCGGTTATAAAACAAGCATATCGGTACTGGCTATTAAGAAAGTACTTTTGAATCGCAATGCACACAGCTGTTGAGTACATTCAACATATTACGAGTACGAGTTCGAGTACGAGTACCAGCAAATCCTACGCTAAGTCAAACAAGGTACGAGTATGGGTATGCATATGTGTATATATGTGTGTGAGTGTGTGTATTTGTGTGTTTTGTATACAATGCAAAATAAATGTAACTCCTATGCATGATAAGCGTTTATCAGGTTTGTCGGACTCGGCATTTACATATTTTGGGTAACTTTTTCTTGGATTGGGAATTTCGGGTTCTTGGGATTGGCATCGAAAAAAAATCGAAATCGAATACGAATTCGAAACTAACCCTTGCGAGGACTCACTACAAGCGGCGGAACTATCTAATCTATAGTGGCGATCGGCCTCAGTTTCCGATATGCGTATATCCTCGGAGCCACTGGGACTCATGTGACGTGACGAATGATGCTCCAGCTGCCTGATCAGATCCTCCAGATTGCGTATACGCAGCGGCCCAGTCGACGGGGCATCATCCTCGTCAGTTGGTTGCTGTTGCAGTGCCAGCCCAGGAGGCTGATGTAACTGATGTTGCGATCGATGATGATGCATCATTGCCCCGCCATGACCAATAGCGTTCGCTAAGCCACCAGCACCACCAACGCCAATGCCACTACCAACACCCCGTACGCCGCTCATGTCAGTACCAAGTGTCAAACCGCCCAATGCGGAACCACTACCGTCCAACAAAATGGCATGTGCGGCGGCACTGTCGCAGATATTCTCACGCGAGCTCGACTTGGAGCCGCTGGCCCGCTTGTACGGCTCAGCGGCATAGCCCAGCTGGGCATTGTTGCAGTCCTGCAGTGTTTTGCGCAACATTTCCTCACTGAGGCTGCCACTGCCGACGGGCGTGTTGCCAGTGCCGGTGCCGCGATGCGAGGCCGCATTACGCAGCGCCTCTAAAATGTCCTCATGGTAACCGTTCAGCGATTTGAGCGTGCGCTCCACTTCTGAGGCAGCCGCACCGCCAATTGTGGAGGTCTGTGTGCCATCCTGTGTAATCAGCTCCAGATTATCCGACTGGCTGTCATCGCACCACTTGTCTTTCAGCTGCTCGCCATGCACAAGTCCGTAGCCATGCTTCTTCAGTATGCCCTTTTCTGTGTGGCGTCCAATCGATTCAAACGTAGTGTTCAAGCGGTTCCAATGTACATGCAAAAGAACATACAAATGTGGTAGAGTCAGACAGCAGAGAGTGCAGAGAGCTCGTCGTATACAGAGTAGTAGATTAGTAGTAGAATTAGTCGTAACATAAGTAGTAGTTAAGTAATAGTAATGTAGAAGTAGTAGTAGTAATAGTCATAGTATTATTATTAGTAGTAGTAGAAGTAGTTCTAGTAGTAGAAAAGGTAAAAGTTGTACGAGTAGCAGTAGAAGTAGTAGTTGTTGTATAAGTAGGAGAAGTCGGAGTAATAGTTGTAGCAATAGTAAAAGTAATAGTATGCATAGTAATAGAATAAGTAGTAGGAGAAGAGTTAGAAGTACTGGTATAAGTTGAAGTAGTAGTATAAGAAGTAAAGTAAGCAGTAGCTGTAGTAGTAATAATATAAGCAGTAACAATACAAGTAGTAGAATTTGTATTAGTATAAAAAGTAGTGGAGATAGAAGTAGAAGTACTAGGAGTAGGAGTAGTAGTAATAATAGTAGTAGTAGTAGTAGTAGTAGTAGCAGTAGTAGTAGTAGTAGTAGTAGTAGTAGTAGTAGGAGTAGTAGTAGAGTTGTAGTAGGTTTAGTAGTATTAGTAGTAGTAGTAGTAGTAGTAGGAGTAGTAGTAGAGTTGTAGTAGGTTTAGTAGTATTAGTAGTAGTAGTAGTAGTAGTAGTAGTAGTAGTAGGAGTAGTCAGAGAAAGTAGAGAGTGCCGCAAGAACAATTACTCATTTACAAAAATGTGTTTAGATTATAACTTAAATCAACAATTTTCACTTCCTTAACCCTGCTTATAGCTAGCTAATTAATAATGCTTTCAAATTATTGGAACATAGTCTTATATTTTAACACATTTAAAACTGCTGCAGTTATTTCAAATATATAATCTACATAATTTACAGCATTGCAAGTATATATTATATAACAAATATATCAGTTTCCATTCATTTTTCGACCGTGGATTATGAAATCTACCTGTAAAATCGGTGAAACCTGTCAAATATTAGATTTCACAGAGGAATACAACAGTTTTCCAACCATTGCCCATCCTTATAAATGAAATTTTTCAAGACCCAGCTCTTGATTACTTTAATTACTTTGCATTCGTTTTTATAGATTGAAACTACAAAATTATGAACTTTCGATATTCACATCGACCCTAGTTTTCTAGTCTGCAAAAACCAGTCGAAGATTTACTTAAAAAAGAGAAGCTTACTAAGAAATGCTAAAAAGTACTAGAAAGCTGCTATTTATAAACGCGAGTTTTTACTTTTACGAATTAAGAGGAGGAGCAAGTTAAACTTTCTTATAAAAGATATTCCTCGTTGGAAATTCTGGGACGTTTTTAATATATAGCTAAGTCAAACAAGCTTTTTAAAAAAATATAACAATTTGCTAAGGTTTTTAAATGCAGAAAAAATTATTGAATAAACTTTGTGTATGATATTGAAAGTATAAATGTCTTATGAAGAAGACAAACAGATATGTTTAGTATGTGTATGGTGTATAACTAGCTTTACAGTAATTATGACCAACTGATTGTAATAGGTCCTTAAGTTCAGGCTCCCGAGTGGAACGAATAGCAATCGTATTGTATGTATTGTATATAGGGTAACTATCTTAAAACTACAAATCAATTTAAGAACGTACGTTTAATTATTTATTGCAATATAGCAATATATATAGTATTAACAGGTAACAGCAAAGGCACTGAATTAATGTAAGTATATGTATTTTTATAGTATATATACTAGTTAATAACGTCAATTACTTGGTATACCTATGCATAGCAATATGATACGTATACGATATTTGGTTTGAGAACTGTGTGAGTGCTTGTCATAAAGTATGAAATTGGTAGTGAATATGATGAACTCTAGAGCATGAATATGTATAGGGAATGTTAATGTTCTTGTTGTTGTTGTTGTATTAACCTGCATGTGATTGATCATCCTCACCACCCGTCGTATAGCGACGTCCATGTAAGTTCTTATCCCTGCATGAAATGGAAGACAAACGAAAAGCAAATACGGTAGAAAAATGCACAAAAATACATAAACGTAACGAGCCGTATTAAAAAGCGGCTGTGGGGTGTGCGTGTGTGTGTGTGTGTGTGTATTGGAATTTAGAGATGGAAATGCTCACCTGAATCCGGCTTGATTGGCATACACCAATTTACTGGAGCCATCTAAGGATACCTCCTCGACGGAATGATGGTTGTTGGCCGCCGTTGCCGCACCGCCGTAGCCCTTGGGGATGGGTTTTTTTGAGAAGGGCGGATCGTACTTAAGGGTGGTTGTCTTGCGTCTATGTTGATGTTGGTATCGACGTCAGAGTTGTTTGGTTGTTGTTGTTATTGTTGTTTATTTTATATGATTTGTATATATATATATATACATATATATATATATATATATAAATATATATATATATATATGTATATATATAGATACATATATATAATTCATGGGTTTTTGTATACACACAGGGCATATACATACATATATAGGCATATATAAATATACATATATATATATATGTACATATGTATAATTGTTTAAAGCGTTGAATGGTGCATATGATTTTTGGATTTATAATTCATTATGAAATTATTTGTATTGGATTATATACAAAATCAGTTCGAAACGTATTTGGCATGGTCGATGGATTTGGTCGTAGGTTGGTTGATTGGTTGGTAAGTTGGTTGATTGGTTGGTTGGTTGGTTGGTTGGTTGGTTGAGATACGATAATATACATACATATCAAATATGTTTGTATACACGAGGTGTATGAGGCGTAGGAATGCCAACATACACACACCCACACGGACACGCAGAGACACACATGCAAAGGGTCAAACAAACACAAGCACACTCACAAGCACACACACAGGCACACACACAGGCACACACACAGGCACACCAACAGGCACACACAGAGGCACAGACACACACACACAGACATACACACATACATACATACGTACGCGCCGTAAATTAGGATGTGGGTGTGTGTACACGTGGCGCGGTGTTTACACACATACATTTTGTTTGTTTAATTTGAATTTTGATTTTGTATTTTTGATTTTCGATTAAATTTTTTTGGTTGATTTTGTTTTTGTTGTTGGTTTCGGATTTTGTTGTTGTTGATGTTGTTATTGTTATTGTTATTGTTGTAGTTGTTGTTGTTGTTGTTGTTTTTGTTGGGAAACGAAAGGTTATGATGAGATACTTGATTAATAATATGCTCGCAATAGAATTGTTTTTCATTTCTGTTTTGTTTTGTTTTGTTTGTTGTAAAAAGTAAAATCAAGTGCCACATAAAGAATTTTGTTATGCAAAGATAAATGCAAATGAAAATACATACATACATACCCATAAACATAACTGTACATATAAACAAAATGCGCACAATATTTATATTTATATTTATGCGTATTTCTTCATAGATATTTACATTTTATAGCACTCCAAATATGTATGTAGATATGTATGTCCTCGCAACACGACTTCAATACATTGAATATGCCTCAAGAAAGGCTCAAAATAATAAAACAATAAGAACGAAACAAAAGCATAACGTGTGTACATATGTAAATGCATTAACAATGATAACATTCTTGAATGAACATGATATGAAACCAGAACTTTGCAGAGAACAAAGAAATTGTTTGAAAACTTTTGGATTATCGCATTATCAATGAAATTCTTCTCAAAAACACGTCAACGACATAACACGAAAAACAAATTCATAATAGTTTTTGTGCTTTCCACATTTATTAAAAGAATGTTGATATTTATGTATGCAAGTATGTAGAACAGTCGTAATATGTAGGCACGGACAGGGGGCAGTTACTTTGTTTGGTTAGACAATTCGTTGACCTAACGCATACATATATACATACATAAAATCATGCATGCCAGCATTCACACATACATACATCAAGCACACAGACAGTTGGAAGCATACATATAGAATGGAATAAATCACACGTTTAATACTCGTTAACAGGCTTGAAAATAGTTTTCTTTTTTCAGTCAGCCCGAGTTAGATGAAAAGGAACACACACAGAGAGGCAGAGAGAGAATAGAAAGTGAGTGAGAGAGAGGGAAAGCCAAAGATGGACAAATATAGATAAACAGAGAAAAAAAGAGCGACAAGCATGGATGAGACATAAGTACTTACAAAACGGTGAAGAAAGTAATGAAAGCTGAAGGTCGAATGGGATCGGGAAGACATGTATATAAGTGAATTTATTTACATGTGTATGTGTCGGTATATAGGTACATACGTATGAGGGCCGTCACGGATGTATATATGCAGACAAATAAGAATAACATCCAAGTTAATTTTTAAATTTTGTATTTTACAAGAGCCTCCTGCTGATTTTTAAAATATTATTCAGTCACGATCGCATAGTATCAGAAACTTTTTGTCAATATATTTCAAATTAAACTGTTTATTTTATTTTTCCGGCGTCAAACTTTAAATGGCGTAAAGAAGGTTTTGCTTTGCATAGAAAATGTTATAGCATACTTTCAGGATGAATACATTTGAGGCTTTGAAACATATATAAATGATATATGGGCGATAGACTTTTAATATATTTAAGCATACCCATATGCAATAATAGAATATGGAATAATATTGGATATACAAAAACTTATTTCGAATGCATACAGACATACAAAGACAGCCTGCAACGCGTTTAGCTTGTGATGTGTATGAGAAGCGATTAAAGACCGTAACATATGGTCCTTATATGTATGTGTATGAAAGCTTAGTTTAAGCGCCAGGATTGAAAATTGGGGAATGGGATAATGGATAATGGGGCTGTAGCATGTATTGTGGTTACCCATGGCATATGTGTCTATTTACATAAACACATATGCCTTAGGTATGCGTGTGTAGTGTGTGTTGTTAATATCGAAAATCGATGCTGATACGATAGTACACAAAGAAAACACGTTAACTTACACATACAAAGTATAGAATATATGTATGCAAGTATTTTGATGCTTTCTGTGTGTATATTGTATTCATTTAGTACATTTGCAATAAGCTCATGGTGACGGCTCATCGGAAACATCGCTGGCTCTCTCTGCAGAAAGCACCACCATAACTCAAAGTCAGTTTCGTCTATGTTGGGCCCTATGCGCAAAATGAGATCTCCAATTGCCATTGGAGGCATAGCAAATGCGTTTGGCAAATGCTTTCCCCCAACCTACATACAATATCGTCTGAAGAGTATGCATTATTATGCATAATTCTTCTTATTATATTTGGCTTTGGGCTGCAAGTAAGCGGGGGCTTGTTACTTGGTTGTGTGTGGGTTTTTCTTTTTATATTATATATGGGTGTATGGTATTTGTGAGACTGTATCTAAGTATCATAATAATGATGTGGCAGTCCTAATATGTAAGTACTTTGGCATATGCATTAGTTATATAGTATTTCGATCAGGTTGGGTTATTTATATTATTATTATAATTGTTATTTTTTGTGTTTTTTTTTTTTCATGTTTTAATATTTCGGGATTACTAAACTGAACAAAAGTAGTAATGAAAATAGTCAACAAGATCGGCGATCAGCGATGCTCTGACCACAATTTCCATTTCTTGGCGTGGTCTTGTTCAAATCTTATGATTTATCACTCATTAACAATAATCAAAAATAATTGATACTAATACATATTGAACTAAAAGGCTATGTATTGAAAATAAGTTGGGAAATAAAATATAAATATGCATATGTTATTATCATGTACTTATGTGTACTACGATTGATCCCATTGTATTTATTTGATAATAATATTAATTAATAGTTTTGCCTAAGTTGGAGGATATTTGTATGCACTATGTACATACATAGGTTAATTCATGCAAATCTCTTTGAAATTTGAAATTTGATCAGATCGATATATGTGGGTGTGCCGCTTTACTTTAAAATAAAGTTAAAGGTTACTGTGCGGGGGCTCGCTATAAACTAATCGGCGAGAAAAGCACAATACTTTATTGTCAAACATTTTTTAATATATATATTATGCAAATATATATTGTAAATTTCCAATATTTGCTTATATTTCGGTGTGTCAAGTTGCAAGCCTTTTATATCATTTCATTGATGGTTTTCTCCCAGACTTTTTGCTGCTATTTACTGCTTGTTCTCCTACTAATATTCAATTTCTTTATAACTGCTTCTTTTCTATTTATAACAAAAATATATATCTAGCAAAGCTGCTCTAGAGTTTTTCTTTTCATTTATTTTATATTTTTTTTGTTTAAATTAAGGTCAAGTACTTGTCAGTCCTGCCTCGTAATATATAATTTATTCTATAAAAGCTGCATTTATCTACTTTCAGTGGACGTTTGACAGTCTTTTAGTTGCTAATTAAGTTTCTGTCTAACTATAATTATAGATTTTAAAAGCTATTGATTTACTACTCAGCATGTGTTGAATGCAGCTCCTTTAATACACTCTACCTCTTTGAAGCTGTTTTTTTTTTTTATTCTTTGTGTATAAGCTAGGGTATTTTTACATACTAGTTGATAGGTTTGAAGCTGACAAAAAATGTCTAATTCAAGCTGCACGGCCATATAAATAATAATTTTATTACTAATTGTTGTTGTGTGTTTGGTTTTGCTTTATTTGACAAAAGGAAGAATATAAGACAACAAAAAATAAAACAAAATAATAATTATTGTCGGACTAGTATGGGGTGGTTGGGCTTAGAGCCATCAGGAACGAACCGTGAGTTTGTAGATGCAGCCTTTGATTATAATGAGGATTGTGCATGTCCGTGTATATGTACTTGCATGTACGTATGTATGTATCATTCAATATATGTACATTCATCCGTACACACATATATAATTAGATTTGATTTGACAGTAAGTATATGTGAATATATGCGCTATACAGTTGTAAGTACATATATAGTTATGTACAAACTCACATCACTGTAGGATAGGCATACAATCATATGTACATACAAGTTTGTCTGTTTATAAAACAAAATATATGTAGAATGTGGTTTTCTATGGTCTTCACGCTGGATAAGTATGTACAAAGGAATTTACATGTGTTTGGAACCGATAAAGTGAGTGAGGAATGGAAGCCAACAAGCGAGAAATCAGAATATATAGTATGTACATATAAATATATGCATTTAATTAATCTGAACTATGTACATATGCATATATGGACGTTTCGATACCATTGCTATGACTATATATTCAAATATATGCATATATATGTGCGTATATATATATATATATATATATATATCAGTATATACATATATGCATATATCTGCATATATATATATACACACAATAATATGTAAAATGTGTGCATTTGAATGCAATGGCAATTATGCGTGTTTTAAATGGTTTCAAAAACGAACTGAATACACAAAAAATGACAACGTTTACATTGATGTACATATGCATGTACGGGCATGCATACATATGTATGCAGAAGATGCATGCATATATACACACATGTACGCATGTATTTATGTACTAAATACTACGACTCATAATGAGGACAACATTTCGAAAGATTAAAAATGATTTAAATCGGAAACAAAAACATATTAACAAAATATTGAGTTTTTTTTTTCGATTTTTGTTAGTGTTCTTTTGTACTTTTTGCATTGCTTTTGCAGTTGTTGTTTTTTGTTTTTTTTTTTTTTTTTGTTGTAGTAATTTGTATTTTGTATTTAGAGCTGGCTTTTTCATTACTTCTTTTCAACTAACCTCAGACACAGGGAGAAGTTTCTATGTACTACAACTGACCTGTAGCACAATGCCATCAAGGTGAATGTTATAAAAACGAACCCTACAACTGACATTAGAACACCGACTAGGAACACTGTATTTGAGCCGTGGTAGTTCTCTATACGAGATTATATTTGCCATTTGTTTCGATATAAATGTGAGTGCGTTAGTGTGTGTGTGTGTGGGAATGTGAATGGTGAGCATTTTGTGCGAGTGTGTGTGAGTGTGTGCGGATTTAGATTTGATGCGTTTGTCAAACATATGCATATAAACACACATATATATATATATATATATAAATATATATAGATATGTATAATATATGGATATATAAACAATATTATGCATACGCCCCGGTGTATTGACAATTTTTGTTTTCAATATATTTCAAAATAGTTTATAGTTGGATTTGCATACGTTACGTTATAATATACCAGGTGTTTTTTGTTGTTGTTGATGGATTTTTGTTTTTATTTTATTTACACATATGTATATATTTTGTTTTTTTTTTTTATTGAAGTTGTTGGTTTCGCCGATATCAGTTTAGCAGGTGGGTGGTGGGTCAGCCGAAAAAAAAAAACAAGCAAATAAATAACATTTTGTACGTTTTCTTCATTTTCGTTTTGTATTGTTTTTTCTTTTTTGTTATTTTTGGAGGTTTCACAAAAATATTAGAGCTCAGCACACAAGAAAAGGCAATTCGGCATTTATGTGCATGAAATTTGACAAGCATACATATACACATAAATATATATTGTATATACATATATATATATTGTATACACATATATATATATTGTATATACATATATATATTGTATATACATATATATATATATATATATGTGTATATGCATGGGTATTAAGTGCCGTTGTTGGGCTACCAACAAAAAGTTTCTTTCGGCCACAAAACGCATCGAATGAAGCCGAAATCGAACGATTCTCACATTTGCGCCTCGAGTTTACACTTTCAGTTACAGTTGAACTGCAATTTTTAATTTCATTCAAAGTGTTTTTTTTTTATTGTAATTTCGTATTGTTTTGGATTTTTGTTTTTTTTTTATACTTTTCGGCAGCACCCAGGCTATGACAATGGTAATCCAAGCTATGCAAAAAGTCTATAACAAAGGCCACGCCTCCGAGCTACGCCCTAGCAGATATGTATATGTATGTTACATATATGTTGTTCAAGCATAAACATTTCAATATATATACATAGATACAAAGGACCTTAAACAATCAAACTCAGAGATAAATACTGATAAAAATATGTTAATATATATATATATATATATATATATATATAATTTGTACACCAACTTGTATGGGTCGCATTCACGATTGTTGAAGATCGTTTGTTAATGGGTATTGCGCATACATTTAATTTGGGAAGTGTTCAAAATTGAATTGAATTCTATGTATGTATGTATAGGTTTAACTTTTAATTTCAAATATATCGAAAGCGTGGTGTCGGTCTCTTAAAAAGATCTTAAGTGTGCATGAGTCGTGTTTCCGGAAGTGAACGGCGCATGTGTGTCTGTGTGTCTGTGTGCGTGTACGTGTGTGTCTGTAAATTTAAGGAAGAGGAAGTAGGTTTAGTGGATGCAATTCGGGCGTGTCTGTCTATTTTGTAGTGTGCATGATTGTGATCGTAAATATTACATATATGTATGTATGAATGCATGTGTATATGTGAATGCACACGAGTGTGTTCTGTAGGTCCAACATATGAATACATATATAGTTTAAGGGTACACACATACATACACGGCATTTGATATACGAACAACAATGAAAACAAACACAGATTACTCAATAGCATTAACCAGCGCGTAGATATATAAGTACATCAAGTGTTTAACAACATATATACAAACAGACATATATATACATACACATACGTATGTACGCAGCTATATGCATACATACAAACAAACTGTATGTCATTATGTATATGGAACAAAAGAAATATAAAATGAAGGAACACACACAATGAAAAAACATACAAAAAAAATTTATGAATCGGACGAAAAACAAGAAAATAATTCAATAGTTTTTTACAAACACAATAGGCATATATATATACATATATATATATATACATATATATATATATACATATATATGTATGTACGAGTATACAGCATACATAGGTACATTAATACATATGTACACATATACAGATACATACATTCACAGTCCTGAACGTATAAATGAAAATTACACATAATTAACATAAATATAAATGAAACCTGATACATAATGGCAGTGGCAGCTATGTATGCACATACATACAAACTTATATGTTTGCGAAATACTTTAAGCAAACGAGTACATGCATACAACCATACACACACATGCATGCATACGCACACATATGTATGTGTTCGGGATAGTGTGGCATATTTGAAAGCTATTGGTCAGACGTTTAAACATATCCTATCTCTAAAGCAAATTGTTATCTTTCAAATTATAAAGCGTACTCAGATGAGCGAAAGAGAGGGAGAGGGAGAGAGAGAGAGAGAGAGAGAGAGAGAGAGAGAGAGAGAGAGAGAGAGAGTAAGAAAAAGCGATAGAAAGCAGTAGCGAGGAAGGAGACAGAAAACGAAAGAGAAAGAGAAACTGCTAAGCCTGACCTTAAGCATGCAGCATACAAATTGGTTTGACCCCCGCGAAGAAGATCTATAAGGTCTATAAGTCGTCAATCCTGATATTGGCTCAACAGCTTTATTACGGTATTTTCTTTGCTTTAATGCTACTTTATGCTTGCATTCTATGCGTATGCGTGTACGCGTATACATATGTATGCATGTGCATGTGCGAGTGCATGTGTGTTTGTGTACGCATGATCGGTGTAACCGATTGTTGAGTTGCTTGGTACTCTACCTGTAGCAAACGGCCAGTGTTGCAAAACTAATGAAGACACATTTGACGATAACTGTTAAAATGATGACCATGGTTAATGTGCTGATCCTATTTTGGTCAGAGGTGCCTGGAAATGGTGGTTGCATTTTATTGTATTTTCTTTTCGGTTTTTCTTAAATCTTTTTTTTCACCAAATTATATAAATTTGTATATATACATGCTGCAATTGTTCTGAAATCTGAATACTAAAGTTCTCTTCATTTGCGTATCTAACATGTAAGCTTATATATTCCTATTTACCCAACTTTTAATTTAAATTAATAATAAAAAATGCTTATATATCTTAGATATTTGGTATAATTTAAGCAAACTAACGGAACAAAGACAAACGGAACAGGAAATGAGCCCATTTCACAAATCAATGTTTAAGATTCTAAAAAAGCCGTTTTCTTTCAATTTCTTTAAATGGATTTCTGGATTCATACCATACGCTTATTACGCCTGCATTAGTCTAAGCAAATGAACCCATACATGATCCCTCATTATATTATACAGAACTAGCTCGTAGTCCAAAGGTGAGTCATAGCTTAAAAAAAATAAATCCAAGAAGTAAAATATGTTCAAGGTCCTAAACATTTTTGTTTTAAAATCCTGTCCCTTATCCCATTACCGTTGAGCTGCAGTGGAAATTATATTTGTTTTAAATATGTCAAATCATGTTAATATAGAAACAAGAGAAAAACATAGACAAAATGTACATTTGTAGCTTTCAGAACCCCAGAACATTTGCTATTTTTCAATTTATCAAAAAATCTGATTTTGGAGGAACTGGAATGCATGATCTGATACTGAGATTGGAGTTGGAATGGACAAACCGATATTTGAATCGTTGATGAATTGAGTTTGTGATTTGATGTTTTTTAGTCCAGCTATAGCATTAGTAATAGGAATAGCTTTAGAGCTGTAATGCTATGTAGGGTAATTCTGTATCTATATGGTTGGACCTTAAAACATTAAGTGGAATCGATTTTTGGACCTTACGCCATTTACCTAACAAAACTAGCAATCGATGTAATTACCATTGTCATACGAGTTATCGAAACAAATTATGTATATCGATGGTATCGAATTGCAATCAAATCAATTATCAATCATATCGAGAGACCTTGTGAGTTCGCTATTTGGGTTCAGTTGTGGCAAGCGTTAGTACCGTCAGTACCGGTGCATAACTGATGCCCCTCCATAACGCCGGTTCGGCTAGGTAAGTTATGTTAAAGTAATGTTAGTTCTGATCTAATTAGATTTGTGGTTAAATTCGATTAGCATGTATCCCAATACATATGTTGATGCCAGGTACGAGTCTTCGGTGACCTCGGCCCACACCCACTATTTCTTACCATATGGAGTTTCTTTTTTCTCCATTTTGATTGTATTCTCCGGCGTTGGCAATGCTTCGGTTGGCAGTGGTGTTGTCAAAAGGACGACCGTACTGCAGTCCGTGCCGCCCCAGCCCATATCGCAGAAGCAACGATTAGCGTTGGTGCAGAACTGTGGAATGGCATAACCAAGGGGTGGAAAAATATGTACGTATAAAAATATATAAATGGATATTCAGGCGGTTGGATGGATAGATGCTGTTGTTATTGTTGTTGTTGTTATTGTGGTTTTATTTTGTTTGTTTCTGTTTTGTGTGTGTGTTCCACTTTTTGAACTTACACCACGCTCGGAGCACTCTTGACCCTGCTTATTTGTTGGGCACTTGGTTTGATCCACATGCGGAAAGAGACTAACGCACGTTTGGTTAAGACAAATCAAATTATCGCCGCATGGTGTGCCATCCTTGACCAAACCGTGATTTGGATAGCTATTGGAGCCCACTTGACCGCTGGTTGCCCTGCAAATGCATACAAGTGTATTACAGTCTTATGCCTGAAAGCTGCAAACGCTTCAAAAATAAAGCAGCCTTCCCCAACCGAACCCCCAACCCCAATCCCAATGCAAAGGCCCCATCACCAAAACCGAGCTACGCACTTGCATTCATATTCCTGCGCCTTGATGGAGATAATTGTGCGAGAGTATAACTGGTCGATTCCATCATTCACTGGCTGTCGCTCGCCCTCCTTGCACTGCAGCGTGCCGCACTGTACGTTCCTGTTACCGGAGAATCAAGGGAATAAATATTATTAGTAAGTTAACTGAATATCACTCATGGCTGGTTCAAGTACTTGATTTGAAATATCAAAAGTATTCGCTGTATTCACTGTTGAAAGCACCAAATACGCAAATCATATGAAATGTTAGTCATGCAAAATGCGTTAGTTCAAAGCGTTTTTTGTTTTTGTTTGGTTTTTCTTTTGTAATCTAAGAAAGCATTACGCATAATATTCAAGGGCACCTACTCTGGCTCGCATTTGATGTAATGATCGTTGGCATCGCGACCGCAGTGACCGTTAATGGAGCCCTTCGAGTTAAACTGTTCATAGCACTGACGATCGGCCGCAAAGCCGCCGTAGCCCCAAATGGCCTCGCATTGCAGATTCAGGGTGGGGCAATAGCCCTGGAAGCAATAGCCTGAAGGGGAATATGTCATAATTTTACTACCTAGCTAGGCTGCAATATGATGTGTCGCTCCCTTACCCGAAACACCTGACTTGCTAAGGCCGCAGGGCGAGCCATTCTTCTTGTAGATATCAGCGGGACATTGGCCCACCTCACCATCACAATACTCGGGCAAATCGCATTCGTTATGCGAGTCGCGGCATATGTAGTCCTTGGGTCGCAGCTGGCATAAACACAATTGTGTTCGAGTCAAAAGCAATCACACTTTCCACTTTTCACTTTTCACTTACCCGACATTGGTCACAGCAGGCACCGCTGGCGCACTGTGCTTCGGATTTCAGCTTACATGTGATGCTATCGCAGCAGGGATCCAATGCACATTCCTCGAACGTGCCGCAGTCGCACTCCTCGTCCTCCTCGATGATTTTATTTCCACAGTTGCGCCGCAACTCAATCTGCAAGTGATGGGAATATATGTATTTTGATTTCTCTGCTAGATATTAATAGATTCGTAAATGGTTGTAAGCAATTCCTCACAATATAATATTCTTAATAACTTTTGCTTGATATTAGTTTAGATATTTTATTAAAAATAAAAATGAATATAATTCATATTTAAACAATTCATTTTTAATCAGAAGTAGCTAAATATCTCCCAATTTAATATTTACAGTTTGTTCAAGGGAAACACGACATTTTGAGTATAAGCAAAAATAATCATTTTGTCTGCATATTTAAATGACAATGTACTTAATTATTCTTACGCTCAGTTATATCTTTGTTTTGGGATACTTATTAATGGGTATTTCTTAGTCTCTTGCACAAACCATTCTAATTGAGTTTATCTGTACTGATGCAGTTACTACGCAACAGTTAACCTCCCTAGCAACTGACCGCAGAGCCAGCTGAAAACCTATTGTGTACCGATAGACTGGGAAGAGAGGGGAGGGGGGCAGGGAGGCAACGCGCTGTATCTCACCTCGTTGGGCTTGTTGAGTAAACAAAGCCCGTGACCCGTTCGCAATGCGTCAATGTAATCCTTTTTACTGCATTCTGAGAATTTGTATGGCTGCACATTCTCCTGGCCGACTATTGATTGCGCCATGATGCAACCATGCCAGTCCCGGCAAAAGCATTCCTCACCTGAATAAAATTGCGGAAATTCCATAGAATGCATTTAACACAAAAGCTTCAACTCCATAAATACTAAGAATTCAAAGTTCTTAGAACATATCAAAATTAATCCTGCTTTATGCACACCTTCCATGCACAAGCAATGCCAAATCTTAAAGCAACACAAAACGTATTTCAATATCAATTTAGTACAATAAAATTGAAGTATTAATATTTTTTAATAACATTAGACAGCATTCCGCAGAGTATTCATTACTCAATAGCAAATTGCTTTAAAGTGAGTAATTTAAGAATTTAATAAAAGTGTTCTAATTTTTATCTTAGATAAATTTTTATCAAATGAAAGAAAATTTGTTAAAAAAAAACAAGAAGACGGAAAAGAAGTGTGTGATGGTGATTTTATTTATTTAGGGCATACAAATGTAATTAAAGTTCTCATAAAAAATATTGTTAGGCAAACTATTTTGGGCGAAATTCGCAAATATTTTAAAAGTAGACCTGGCACAGATTTAATTGTACTTACGCCCATCGTCGTGGCCCATGCCAATATTGTGGCCAATCATATGGGCCATTGTGCCCGCCAGAAGGTGCGGCTCATACACATTGACATCGACGCTGATGCCGACGGCACGGGGTGTGCAGACAGTCTCGGGCACGGCCATGCCAGCCTCGCCCCCGGCGAACGTTTCCCCGCTGCAAAAACAAGTAAGCACGTGCATATGCACATTATATGGGGTATATGCGTATGTATGTGAGTTTGTGTGTGTGTGTGTGTGTGCGTGTCTACTTACGATAACAGCTGTGTGGTATCCCTCTCGATTTGATACAGATTCCTTGAAGTGTAGTCATTAAAGTTGGATATGGCCTTGCTAATGTCCTTGCTGCCATCAATGGCCGCCTGGTTCTTGCCCCACGTCTCAATGTACACCACAGACACACGAGTATTCAGCGTGCGGAAATACTGAGCAGGCGGACATAATCAGAATTACAAAATAAGTGCTCATTGCCATTTCTGTACTCACCAAATCAGCTATATTGGCCACCTGTATGGCATCATGGATGACTTCGGCGCGTGTGCTACCGTTCCGCTTCTCGAACATGGCCTTATCGACTATGATGGCCGTCTCGATATATTTGGTTGCCTCGCGCACATCCCGCTTATAGCGGCCCGCCCCATTCGGATGTATCTCATCGACAACTCCCGCCGACAGGTGCTTGGTGCGACGGGATAGGCGCCACGAGTCCAAATTGCCAGAGTTGGCGCAACCCTTGTTCGCCTTTGTACGCGCCTCAAAAATCACATGCGGATGTTTCTACAGCAGCGATGAGCGGGGCATTTGGTTACAGGCTAATTAACTTAGATTGGGATCACCTAACTTACCGATAGATCACCGCCGTAAAAGGGATGTATGACAAAGGTCTCGTTGCCAATATGTATGACACCGCTAACGCCGTTGCAGGTATGAAAAGCGGCACTGGCGCCCGGATAATCCTTCACGGTGCCATGATAGTAACAGTGCTCAATGTCCTGCAAAAAAAACAAATGATCTATATAATATGATGGTCCGACGTTGACAAGTTTATGCTTATATGTAGGCAACTAGCAAATGCCGAGCTTGGTCAAAAGTTGTTTGTTTAACAACTTAATTTTCGTGCGCTTATTCCCATGGGAACTATATGATACAGTTGTTCGATATATGTGTTGCCTGCAAGAGAAAGTCAGACTTTTATGAAATTTTCAGGACTTCAACATGGTATTCGAAACTCAGCAAATACGAAGGCGCAAGTCTTTAGCTTTGAAACCCCATTTTGGTTGAGTGTATTTAGCTGTTAAGACTATCGAAATCGATATTTATCGGGATTATAAGAATTGGTCTAATCTTTTTGAAATTTTCAGGGATTAACATGGCAATCAAAAGACTGCATATACCAAGGCGCTTGGCTCTAGCCTCGAGTCATTTCTTTACCACATTTTGGTTGATTGTATCTAGCCAAAATCGATATTTATCGAGATTATGCAAAAATTGTATGATTACAGTAAAAACTAACGTGTTCTGCAGGTGGTATAGAAAAATACTGTTTAATGATATCGGACAAACAGGCATGGCAAAATCGACTCAGCTCGTTTATTTTTCACCCATTCGCAATTTGAGCATAAATCTGAATAGGTATTTATAGAGCGGCATGCCCAAGAGTATAGATCTTTATTATATTTTTTAAAATATTCAAATTCAGGCAAAATACTATTAGTATTTCATTGTTTTATGATTATTAAAGTGCAAGTAATATTGATATTTAGCAAAACAATAAATGCGTATGCGCAAACCCTGGGATCTGTTACATAACATACTCGTATACCTAAATCAACTGCAATGTACAATGCACTCAAAAATAACAGAACAAACCGACCGATTCCGTCTCCCATATGTATTTCGAATGCCTAAGAATTCGCCAAGAGCACAGTGACACATGAGAACGTGAGTCCTGGTGAATTCCTGGGTATTCGAAATAAAGGACGAGCCGCAAGGGGTCCGAATGTCGAGCACTAAACTTGAATTACACAGTAAATAAATTTCGAAATGTTGGAAACCGACAAAAATACTACGTAATACAAATTTGGGCGTTGCAAATTGTTGGACCAGGTCCATGGATTACACTTTGCATGTTGGAAAAACTGACTGCTGCGGCAGCTGTATGAAACTGTACTAGAATTTTGGGCTGTTATTTTCGTTTCTGTTGTTGTTGGTGTTGATGTTATTGTAGTTGATATTGTTGGTTATTATAATCGCTCGTTGATTTTGAATATGTTGCTGATGTTGTTGTTATTGGTGTTGTTGTTGATTTTGTGAAGCCCAGTTCCGCACACCTAAATAAATAGACAATCGGCTGCCCTCTCCAGATCCCAATTCTCTTTAGAGAGCACCGCGCGCGCCTCATGCTCATCGATGCCCATATCCTTGAGACGCTCAATCTTCAGATCCAAATCGGGAAACGTGCGGGATCCGCCCGCATACGCGCTAGTCCAATGTTTGGCCGTTAGTAAAAATAGATCGTGCCGCTTTTTGAACTGATAGGCAACCACAAAGTCCTGCCAATCGTCTGGCTCGGCAGCGGTCAGCATACCCTGTAGCGATAACAAAACTGTGCTCAGTGTCATGGCTGCGGCCCAATGATCCTTCAGGATGTCCATGCGTATGGCCCCAGTCACCGATGAGATGTTCGGATGCCAGATGCGTGTCATAAAGCGAACTTCTGGTGGACTAAAAGGATATTTATCTGGCACCTTGATTTCAAGCACAAATTTACCGCCCTCATAGGGCGTGCCGCGCGGCCCAGTTATCTCGCCGCGCAGCTCTGTCCAGCTATCGTTGACGAGCTCCATTTTGATCAGGCACTGGCGGAACTCTTCACCGCTGAGTGCCTCTTTAAACTCGCGCTTGATGCGCGCCTCAGCCATGTTTGTCATGGTTCCTCAAAGATGTTCTTGTTGTTGTTTTTGTTGTTCTTGTGTTGTAAATCGCGCTGTATATTTACGTTCCAAGATTTTTTTTTTTTTTTTGTTTTCTATATATATTATATACGAAACGCTTCAGTTTTTCTATTTTATTATAAACTGACACTTGTTCGAATACAAATGGCTCGGAATTCGGACTGCTAGATTGATGAGATTTTAACTTAATTTCAATTGTGGCTCAACATTTTAATTTAAATTCCTATCATTGTTTCACAACAATTATGCCACTAGAGATTGCTGGGATATTTCGAATTTGGATTACTTACATGCCGATTGCCATCCACTTGGTATCCACCGACGTGATAGTGTTTCTGTTGTATGTTGGGCGACAGTAGTTGACTGTAAAAGGAGACGTAGGTATATAATGCGGATTAGGAATAATGAATAAGCTACCAAATCTCTTAACGAGTTTAATTTGACCAAGAGCTGGAAAATAAATCAGCTTTATTTATTCTACTCACGAGTTCAATTCCAAATCCAAACGGAATTTGTGATTGAATGCCTTGATAAGCAGTGAGGTGCGATGAAAATGTTTCTGAAATTTAAGAGGGCAAATATAAAACAATCTTTAGTACTGTGACAAAATGCCCACGCAATATATTCCCAATTGTCAGGCATTTAACCAAATTGGCCTCGACTTTATCGAATGTATTTGTATTTGGTTTTATTGTAAAACTTTTGTTTGAATGCGCCCGAATTGAGCTGCATTAAATATAATTATAAATAAATCATCCCTTTTTTATACTACGTGAAACATGAAACTTGGAAAAACTCTTGCTTTTATTCCGAAATCGATTTCGAACAGAAACGGAATGGATTCGATTACACAATCCGTGCATTTATTGATGGGTTTAAATATTTATGTATAAATTCGGCGTTCATACCTTTGTCCTGCCTCTGCTGAATCCGCTGTCATCATGTGGGCGTGGACGTTGTCCGGGCTAAAAAAATAAATTAAAAAACGTCACGCCTTGAATGGTCGGCAAAAAGCGGACTCGCTTACGAATCTACAACTTAGTATCAAAACACATAAGGCATTCGATTTGAATAAGAAGTTCGCAGACTATTCATCTTGTGGTTTGAATAAATATTGGGCAGTGGAAAAATCATACAATTGTAAGGTTCCTTAAAGTTATTCAATATAAACAATTTTTGATGAAATTTGGATGACAGGCTGTATGTATGGGTGATGTAGATTATGGACAGTATGTGCGTGTGTGTGTAAGTGTGTGTGGATAAAAACAATGGGACAAACAATATCACGAGTGAATGGAAATAAATGTGAACATACCATTGTGTTTGTTTCGATTTTTCTAGTATTTCTCTTATGCAAATCTTTGCGTACCTTTGGGAGACTAACTTCGCGTGTTGAGATTCCCATCTTTTCGTGATGACGCAGCTGTACCGGATAGATTATTTGATAATAATGTCCACCAATACGACGCACAAGCTCCTGATTTTGTCTATACTCTTTGAGTAACCGTTCCACTTCACCTGCAAAAAAGAATTATTTAAAAATGTTCGCTAAAGTAGTTCTTCAAGCATCGATTCGAAGAATAACAATCACTCAATCAAACGCTAGATATTTTACGCTCAATAGATTATGGCACATGAAAATTAAAACCACACACATAATGGAAAACTAATTGCTATTAGGTAAATATACTTACCAACTGGACTTTCTTCGTTCCAAAATGAATCATCGAGTGTATAATCAGCTTCTGCAAAAGAAAAATATTTTATTAAAATTAAGCTTTTTTACTAAATGCGTATTGTGTTAATAGATGGAATAACAGTTGAAGGCCCCAATAAAAGACGTAGCTCTGTGAGCATCGCTGTGAGTATAAAGCTGTATTTTTACGACCTGAACTATCAGCTAGGTTTTCGCCTGGGAGTCTCAGGCCTAAGTATCAAAAAACTCAGTTAAACAACTCTGATCAGTGTATACACAGGACGAAAATACTTAGTTGACCCAGAAAAAGAATCAACGAACATATTAAATTTACCCGCTGTCTGGTAGCCCTAGAAAATGACAGCTCAGAAGAGCGCTCAGATTTAATACAATATGTTCAATATCGTTAAAGCTTCTCACCTGAGAAAGTCAAACTATTGTCTACACGGGCTGAGTGCAACTCAGTCGAAAACTCAGTTGAAAACTCAGACTCAGCTTCAGTAAATTATGAAATATTAGTTTAGCGTAGAGCACCTCAAAACCCCAGGTCTAGGTTTCAGCATTATTTTTGATGCCCCGATGAGAGAGCTCAAATCAATTCTTTAATATATATATTGTGTACTTCTACTCAAATTTGTGGAACAGCTTCAGCATATAAATACAACCACATGCTTGCTGAGAACTTGTTTTTCTGACACAGCTGGAAATCGCTGGAATGCCTTAAGACAGTTTAGTTATCGGACTGCTTTCCAGATTTCTCAATAGCAAAGCCTATCTATGATAATAATTTCAATTAAAATGTATTCCCAAGAGCTGCCTGATTCCTAATTAACGGATTATATATTGGGCTGTACATTTCATTTTTGTTGTTACAGACCATATATCGTTTCAGAATCCAAACGCTTTGCCAAATTTCGTACACGACGGTAAAGCGTAGGAATTCTAAAACGATACGATGGACATTTTTAATTTTTTTTCTCTTTTTTTCTTTAATCTTAGCAGCATATACATAAATTAAACAAAATTACTTGCTCATTGTACTGAAAATTGCGAATTGAATGAAAGCAAAAATAATTCCAAACATATTACAAATAACTCGATATTTACCAAATAAAAGTTGTAATTCAACATAATATGAAATTATAATTTGATTTCAAATTTTAATTAATACGCATATAAATTGGTCTGTTACATGTTAATAATTTGTGGTGCTCCCAGTAAAACGAGCCTAACCACAATTAAACAATAAATGATAAGTTAAATTTCAATTTACGCCCATCGCTTGTGAGCCACAAAATGCATTTCGAATTTCGAATTGGCCAAGGATGCATTTATCATTAATTACGCCATCTATGAAACCAGCATGACCTCAAACACATGCAACGCAAAGCTCTAATGCAAGCTCTGCCGATGGCTAGTGCATATTAATATCTGGCGCCCAACATGGACAAGTAAAACTAATTATTCGAATTGCCTAAGCAACCATGGAAAGCAAAGGGTTTAATGGGCGACGACAAAATGAGTTTTACTTATTGTGTGCCTTGCATATATTATGATGTGCATCCATTGTTGCCATACAAAACTCCCGCCCACTAATAATCGTTTTTAATCCCATAAACACGTATACACTTATGTACTTATAAATATTTTCTAACAGGCTAACATATTAACGCTTACGTAAAGACTTCTATTCATAACTTTTATTGTATAATGGCCTAAATATTTTTAGTTAATATTGAAGGATTCGTTCATATACGTACTTAAGTCCATGCTCATACACATATGTATATTGAAGACAATTTATGTACTATGTATTAACTGTATCAACTGGCAATCATGAGGCCTTATCTTAATTAGGAATCTTAATAAAAGGCGAATTTCACCAACAGATGGATTAAATTCTGTAAGCTATTCTCAAGTACAAAATGTTTCATTAGGAAAACGAATTTTGGCACAAACTAAGCATCAAACGCATCTGGACGGTTGCTGATAACAAGAGAATATTTAGAATGGGAACAAATATAAATAAATTGTAAAAGATAAATTGTATAAAAACAGAATAAAATCCACACTCAACAAGTAAGAATTTTTTGTGCAGCAAAAAGTAAATCGTCAGATGCACAATTAGCTAAAAATGTAGCTACGTCCACAACCACAAGACAGCTCCCTGGGGGGGGAGAGGTTGGCCAGGACATGACAATTTTGGTTAAAAAAAGACAAGTGAGTGCATTGCGGTCGAGTGTCACAAACTACGCAATACACAAATGTAGACTTGTTCAGTTTGAAATCGAGTATAGCACTCTGCCTGGAGGAATTAAAGGATGTAGGAAGAACATGCACAAGCATGTTCCCTCTTTTATAGGTGGGCTTTAAAAAGCATACAGAAAGCTTGATAAGCCCAAGTATAAGGTATTATTATATTGCGGCTCTGCATCCAATGCGTGCTCGTTCATGAATGAGCACAGCCTATTTTGGAGCTTTTTTATATGTAAATGAGTTTTTATACCCTGAACCCATTAAAAACGGGTAAATGGGTAAGAAAAAATGTATAATGTTTTTGTGATGCTATGTAACAGACAGAAAAAGGGCAACCACGAACCCAAAAAGTATTTATATGTTTGATCAGGACCACGATTTAGCCATGTCCGTCAGCATCAACGCATCAATCTCAACAAAAGCTAAGGACTTAACATTTTTAAATATACATTCTCTATTGGTTATTATAAGAGCTATGTAGATACACCATATATGGGGTGTGGTCTTTCTTATAGTATACATATGACGGCTTTTTTGCATACATTTCATTTCATTTCTTCCCAAATGGAAAAAAATCGTATTTGTTAAGGCAGAGCCTTACCTTGAAAGATACACACATTTGCATGCCTTATTTAAACACTACAAATCTCATAAAGATCGGACTTTAAGCACCGAAGATAATCGAGAATATATTTGCTGTACATAGTGTGGAGCAATGGGAAGAATACAGCAAGAAGTATGCATTTACATAAGGAAGCTTGGCCTTGGGTTCGGGATATGTCTTATCTATCTGCTAGTGCTCTAGCGACTAGAGCTCAATTACTTGTATTTCTATTGTTTTTTACCGAGTTAATTGATGTGGTAAATAAGGCACGCTGCCTGTTGAGGTCCGCTAAAAAATAAAGCCCAGAGGGATACACTATTATTTGCTCATCGATGCGAGCTTAAAGCCCATCGCCGCTGGGAGTCCACATCAGTATTGACTGCTGTCAATGCTGAAATTTAGCTGGCAACGCAAAAAAATAAAATATAAAAAAATAAAATAAAAAACTTGCGTTATATTTGCACAATGTGTTTATATGGGGGCTTTGCATTGTTGCACGCCAAGTGGCATACAAACCAACCGCCCAGTCACATAGTTGGGCCAAATCCCACAAAATGAGCATCAATCAAAAGTAAATCACGCCGGCGACTTGATGAAAGCGTGACATGTGTTGTTAAAAAAAAATGAAAAATCCCAAGGGTTGAGCTCTTTGGGCCGCACAGAAAAAGTTACTTAAACTTCAATAAAGCCAAATTTAAACTTTTTGCAGCATCCTATTTCAATTTCTCGTTAAAAAGCAACCAACCAAAGAATGTAAACTGTGTAAGACAAAAACCCCAAGAGTTCCTCAAGCTATATATTTACACGGTCTGAGTTTCCCGCTGAGTTTTCGCCTGAGTTGTGCTCAGGCCGTATAAACACAAGTCTGAGCAGCTTATACGAAATATAAGCTGTTCTATTCATTTGTCATTGTCTAGGTGTGACAAATTGCAATGTGCTGGTGCTGCCACTTATTCCATTTGGTGTTTAATTCTTCGATTTTTTTTAGCTATCGACAATCGATAACATCAAAAACGCTGCCCTTTCTGTCTTTATTACATGGCAACTTCTTGCAAGTTTTTTCTGACAAAGGAATATTTAAATTTATGCGTGCTATCTCAAATTATATTTAAGAATGATTTGAAAATGCGTTTGAGTCCCTTCGAAATACGTTCCAAAACTTGGAATCTACATTTTTCGAGTATTTTACTACCGTGAGGCAAGGCATGAAGTCGAAAAATAAACTTTCGTTCATATATTCTTTGAGCTGAATTTACCATGTAAGAGGGGTGAAGCTTGGGAAAAGTTTGAAACGCGTATCAAATGAAGTTTCAGAAGGATCTTTTGCAAGGATCAGTGTCGCTTAAACACGTATTCATTAAGTTCCTATGTGGGGCTTTGCAAATAAGATTCAAGCGGATGATACGCACTTTCCATCCAAGAGGGTTGGATTTTGCAAAAAGATTAAAGATTCTTTGATATATGTTTGAACCCGATACGTAACCAGCCAAATCTTTGACTCCTTTTACCACCAAAGAGGGATGGATTTTGTAATGAATGTGAGTCACGTCTCAAATGAATTTTCATAAAGGCCTTTGAAAATGAGTTTTCAGACATTTTTTCCAAATTTGCAGGTGGAATCTCCCAAAACCCTGTCATAGCGAGCAGCTGTATTATAACTTTAGTAAAAATTTCTTAGCTCTTACGGTTTTGGCTATGCGTTAATCAATAGCCAGTCAGTCGGTCATACATTCTGTCCTTCAGTCAGTCAGTCAGCCAGTCAGCCAGTCAGTCAGGCAAACAGTTTCACGTATAGACGATTGCTCTACATATTTCTTGAAAAAATATTGCTACTACTTATGCATGCTGTAAGTCCTTCAAGAAGTCCTTCAATAAGTACCGTAAGACGTACAGGATAAAAATATAAATAGGTTTATTCAATGCAGACGATTGCACATTTCTGGCGTCAAGGTTGAGTGGTTCTCAAGGACGTTTCTGTCAAACAGCATTGCTTAAAATAGATTCAAATGATGAAAAGGGAAAGAAATCGAATGTCAGTTGCCAGCTGATGTAGTGTAGCATTTGTATTAGCTTGGACTATAAGAGCTCGCCCATTAGGTTAAGGGTCATCGAAACATAAGTAAAGCTTGTTAACGCTAGTTGCGACTTTATCTTCATTTTTTTTAAAAACAATTTTTATTTGCCAACAAATTCAGCTAATATGGGCATGGCTTAAATATAAATGTACTATCGACCAAAAGAGCGTATTATAAGTGACTTTATTGAATTAATAAAATGATGGTATGTGGTACAATACAATATAAATGGAATAATTCACCAAAATAACAAATTAAACTCGAAATTAACGATTTTTCATAATTCACCTCAAATTGTTGTATTGGAATATTGGCGGAAACGTTCACAACGCCTTTGCTCCTGTTTTAACTAATCTGAGGCTCATTTTCCAAGCTATATGTGAAAATGCATAAGCATTGAATTTTGTTTGTTTGTTGCTTTCATTAAAGTTTTGCGAATGTTATTTTATTATTTAAAATATTTAAGCGTTATTTCATTTCGATGGTGCTTTTGTATAATATGGAACGCTCTCAGTACAAAAAAGATTAAAAGATCTTTTGGCTATATGGGACTAGCTGGAACATTAGTTTCCGATCTTAATACATGCACAAATATTCATATGTATATCTATATAGAGATATTTGAATGAAAGAACACTTTTACTGTGATGAGGCAAATAAATCAATACAATTTGCAATAGTTCGACTATTGCAAAAACGATATTAGAACTTTATCGGACATCTATCTAAAAGACATATTAGAAAACTATACCACACATCCTATAGGAAATGTAATCCACTCGCCCGATTTTACAGAGTTGAAAACCTAAGAACCCTTGAAAATAAAAACCTTCAGGCTATCAACGATCGATAGAAATTCTACCAGCTAATATGACAACGGGAATATAATATTTTACCAAGAGTAAAAGTAACTCAAACTAAAAATAACAGGAATAACAGCAACAGAAAAATCGAATCAGATAAAAATAAGACAAGCGAAAACTGCGTTTAACAAAATCGAAAAACAATCGAACCCCCTTTACTAGAGTATTATAATCATTGTTAAGAACTAAGAAACCAGACCATACTAAGATTATTTCAGATACAATTGCTGGTATTTTTGATATTCTAACGCTGAATGCAAACATTAAAAGCAAGATTAGCAGAAGGTGCAGTCTTCGTGAGATATGTTTTCTAAGTGAAGTAAAGACTAACTAAGCAAGATTTAGATACATAAGGACATCTAAGCAACAACAATACATTGTCATAGTCGAAGGTTAAAGTAGCCTGTGCTCATCAAGATGTTAAAATAATAGTCTGAAACTCTACGTTATTCTCAGATGAGTAATAAAATATTGAACAGAATACGAACATATACGAATTTTGCTCAATAATTTTCCCAAACTTTTGACTTTATCAGATGAGAAAATTTCTCGCCAAAACTTTCATGTCCTTAAACAAAAGCTGCCTTTTCGGAGGCTTATAAAACATAAGTCTGACGTATTGACTAACTACAATGCAATCGTTTGCAAACATTTGCCAATATTAAAATAAAGCAAAAAACCCATTATACTGTGGTCATACGCAAAAAAAAAGAGAAAATTACGCTTTGATTCCAGAGTTAATAAGCAAATTTACATATAAATGATGCACGCTTTTATTTCCCACACAACAACAAAAAATTAAATGCAAATTTGATGAATAGAAAAAATGCAAAATTCATAATGCGTAATATTTATTATTACAAATATCTGCAGGCCAATTTGTGGGCCAATTGAAGTGAATCAAATTAAAACAATACAAAATAAATGATTAAAAATGAGAATAAAATTGACGATTTTAATTTGTGAATAATTTGAACATCGAATTTGCAAACGACTGCTGTAAATGTCAAATGCATTTATGCAAATACAGCCCACGGCCGACATTTGTTCAATAAGCATAATTCTTTTTAAATAAACCCTTTTACCATGAATTCATGAGTGGAAATAAGCCTGGTTGAAATCATTTCAATATGTGGAGCCCTCATTGTGTATATGGGGAACATATATATTTATATATATATGTATATATATGTATATATATGTATATATATGTATAACATAATGTACTTACCACCAGCGGAGTGGACCAAGGCACAAAGCTGGGCTATGATGACGACCAAAGGTGCGAGTGTTATCCACATGACGGCGGTTGCACTGACGTCTCCTCGTTGGCCTTGGTGCTCTCCCGACCAAAGGTGACTGCTTTAAACGGCTGCTGGCTGGTAGGCTTTTTAGTTGATACACCCGCAATCTCTCACTCACATACGATTGTCGCAATTGCTTTCAAGCTCTGAGGAAATTGGCTTCTAATTGTTTGGCTCTAATTCTTTCTAATATGTTGCTTGCGGCTTAGCTTGATCTTCCACAGCAGTTGGTGGCATAAGCTAAGGCTGGGACTGTTGCAGTGACTGTTGCAGCTGCTCTGGCTGAGGTTGTGGCTGTGGCCTTGGCTGTGGCTGAGGCAGAGGTTGTGTTGTATGGCAGTGGCGGGCAGGCGTGACTGGGTGTTGCTCGGCTGACGTCAGTGTGCAGGTCAAGTCGATATTGCGGCATCATTTCGCGCTGCACAATGCCCTTGCTGACCAGCTTCCTTACGACTACTTTGCCGCCCCTTTTCACACACTTGAGTCTAGCACTTCTTTAATAATCACTTATTTCTTGTACGAGTTTCAAAAAAATAAACAAAAAATCACTGTTTTTTAACTCTCTTCTCACAATCACAATAAAAAAATATTTGCTGTTCGCTTCTCCAGAAGCTTGTCACAAACGCCCGCCGTTCAGGGGCGTATACCGATTGCAATTGTCTATCATACGAAGCTGATCTGCAAAGACATATAGAAACATATAGAAGATTATTTATTTGTCTAAGATGGCAAAATGCTTAGCCTGTACAAATTTGTATATGTTACTTTAATTGAGCAGGGCATCAAATTAAACATATTTGCATACATAAAGCAGATACTGGATATACATATGTGGTCAAATAGTTAAATGAGGATGAACATTATTATGCTCTTAACTAGACAGCTAGACATCAAATCGGATCAATGCAAATTTAAGATATTTGGCGAAAATATAAAAAGTATTTTTTGTTTATACAAATTTTTTTATATATAGGTATATATACATTTTCACACTTAAAAGATCTAGACGATTATCTTTGGCACTTACAGTTGAAATATTTAGCAGTTAGCAACATGTTTAATCAACTGATAACTATATTTTAATATAAACAGAACTATATATGTATGTATGTCCCGGCAAAACGCGCTGACCGATCACTGATCCACGACTAAGCGATCGGCCCCGGCCGAAGCAACTGCAGATGCTCGTCAACGAAGCTCGATTTGCAGACAGTGTAGCTTCCGTACAGTGGGCATAAAGCGAATACCAAAGGTGATAAAGTATTGTCTTAGTCGAGGACCATGCTATTTCATATAGTAACCACTTTCATTGCGAACCGGTCATACCAGGAAGGTAAGTCTAGTTTTTACTGTGAATCGAATCATATTCAAAAGATTGGTTCAAACGAAATGGCTTTAAAGGCGACCCAGTATAATGCATAATTAGCTTGGACCCATCTATATAATTTAGAACGGGCAACGAACTTTAAAATTGAACCCAGGTTTGAAACGGTACCTGGTTCACAGATGTGGAAAATCGGCTGCACGAACTTAATCTAAGACACAGATAGACATAAATATGCGATACTTCTGATAGCTATTAAAAACATAATAATTGATATAGCTTTTGTACATGCAAATATTTACAGCAAATTACCCTCTAAGCAACACCTATACTATATTAGTTATATATTTATTAGTTTTATTGCTGTTTCGGACTTGCTTAAGAATTTCTATATGTTAGAACCCAAATTGTACCCAAAAACAAAGAATAAAATGTTTTCGAATTTGAAACAGCAACTCAATTAATAATGTTTGTATTGTGAAAAGTTTTGTTTGATTTCTTCCACTGTTTGCTGCCTAATTAACCAAGGGCAGCAATAAAGGGGTCATAGTTAAATCATAGCAAATGCAATGACAAGCCCGAACTGCTTAAATAATTAATTGCGGCGACCCTCATGCGAACGGATGGATAGACGGCTAGCCAGTCAAGGGTGCACAAAGTGGATACATAAACAAATCATGATGCGAATATGTCCCTGAATAACGTCAACTGTGCGGATGCCGCTCGTTTATAATTGGATTTGCTATAAGTCAATTAATGAGTCCATTTTCGATATTCTCAGTTAATTTCATTGTTGTGCGAGCTACTTTTTCAGCTCGTAACCGACCGCCGCTAATATCAATTAGCTGCCAGGAAAACTATCCTTTGATTTACCTGCTTCTGCGAATAAAATGTTTCAACTGGTAAAGCATTTTCTATATTTTCATGCAACTTGCCAGTCATTTTTCAACTTTATTTTGCTGTCTCTTTTCAAACTATTTAATTTCACTCCTGTTTCTTTCGCCCTCTTACTGACCCACCCTGCTTATCTTATTATTCTTATATCTTATATTCTTTACAAAAAGGATCTTTCTTACGCATTTCATTTTTTCTGTTTTATTATGTGTTTTCATATAATGTAGGTAATTAAAAACTACTTCTCAGAATATACCTTTCCTCTTAATGCCTTTCTATTTACCTGTAGATTTAATTAACATAACAGTCAACAGTTAGCTGTGAAGAGGGGCACAGATAGCCGGACGGGCAAATGAAGTACTCCCATCGTGTCGGTGATGTTATTAAAAATGTTTGTAATTCCTCTAAGCTTTTAGCTGCTATTCATTATATTGCAATAAAAATTAAGCTATCGCTGCATGACTACGCCAACTATTTGCAATTAAAATAACTTATAGACACGGAACTCGCCTTTTTGCAAATTTGTTCGCATTTCAATATGCCAGGTTATTTAAGCAAGCGGCAACATAATATTTTACTGAAGTCTGCCATAAAGCAATTGATATAAAAAAAATATGTAAATACAAATAAAAGAAGATTGTGCAGAGTCGACTAACAGCAGCTGTAGGCGAAATTTACTTTCAAAGTAAAGTTGTTAAAGTATTAGGTCGAGCTTTATACTAAATCCCAACACTTAACGCACACAACTGACTCGATATTCATTCGGAATCACATTTTGGTCATGGCTTTATTTGAAATGAATAAAAATCTATTAATTCAATTGGATTTAACGCATTTGTCAATTTTGAAAACAAGATTACTTTTAATTCTTTAATTTTAAAACCAAGTTGGTAGCTATTTTTGAAGGAAACAAGCAATGTTAAATCCAATCATAATCAATTTGCATGTCCTTAAAATGCAAAAACTATCTTCACATATATATATATCTCACAAAAAGAATTAAGGTATATTCTCTAAAACTCTTGGAGGAATGACCCATGAAAAACAATTTTACATTTAAGGATCCCAAAGACTTTGAACTCGAGTCGAATTCCATGTGGAGTATCATTTTAGTTAACATTTAGAATTTGTCTTAGGGCATTTTGACAGGTTTTCAATCTGACTGAATTTCTACGTCGCACTCACAAGCGGCAGCTGGTTCAAATTCAGCAAAAATATTCTATATTTTTAGGGGCAACGACATCTTGGCTGGTTTTGAATCTGCCTGAATTTGAGCATCGGCCTTAGAAGCGGTCACTGGTCCAAATTCAGCAACAATTTTCGATAATTTTAGGTGCAACAAAATTTTGGCTGCTTTTGACCATCGGCCTTACGAGTGGCAGGTCCCTGGTTTAAATTCAACAATGATATACACATTTTTTAAGGGTAACTGCAAAAACGTGCGGCGGCATTTTGTGTAGCTATGAATCTTCGTGAAGTGCATTTTCAACATTATCTGAACCGCGTGACGCCGAATGATTTCTTCTAGTAATCTATATTTTGGGTGTACTCCGATAAGAAACGTGACGTAAAAGTCCTATTTGGTTGAGTTACTGAGTTCCAGCTGCGGTCCACAACACAATTGGGCAATTGATGTCTGAGGCAAGGCCTCGGATTGAAAGTTTGATTGCGGCCTGCCTGTGGCCAGCAATGGACACACAAATAATCCGCATTGGCATCGCATGGCCACCCCTGTTAATGACAGCCGAAGCAGCAATGGGGAAATTGGGGGCGCCGTTTCGCCACGGCTTCAATCATGCGGCTGCATAATCACACAGCATTTGTTGCCAGCGGCATTGTGCTGCAGTGGTCATTGTTATATGTTTTTTTTTATTACTTTTTTATTTTTAAGGGAAATCCATCTTTTGGTTTGCATGGGTCTAGCGCCCAATAAGCCGCAACAGAAATATCAACTCGAGTGCTCGTGGGGCACAAAAAGTACATAAAGAACACGGCTGTTGTGTGAGTGTGCATTTGTCTCCATGCCAATGTCGGATTGTAAAACTTGACTGATTTTCACATGGCTCCAAGCAGATATTTTTGGGCATGTCTGACTCGATGTGGGACTTATACATAAGCCGTAGACGCTATTGCTATGACAGCAATGTGGTTTTGGCTTTTAACTTTGAATAGCTCCAGGCATTGGCACAATTAGCATTTCAAGTCTAGTGTGAAATTTGATATAATAACATTCGCGCTGTTCGAGAGAATCAATAGAGGGTCTACTTTACGTTTGGAATCGGAAAACTCCCAACTTTTTGCAGGCAACTGAACGGAAATTTTGTATGGAACAATAAAGTACTATGCTCCTTGAATTCAAATACTCGATCTCTTCAAAAGACTTAAGCCGTGCTCTTAAAGTGCCCCATACCAGCCTACTGTGGGGTACATTAAACCCAAATTTACTAAATGTAAGCACAAAAAAAAGAAGGAAAAATCTAAACAAAACACGCAGCCTGGGCTCAAGAATCGTCTGGGCAGTTCACAATTCGGAGCACATAACAAATCTCTCTCTGGCATGCAGACGTTGCCCTGTGGAATCCGACGCCCCTGCCCTGGGGCCAGCAGCTGCTGGCAGGGGGCGGTCCGGACGTTCGCCAGGCGCCGCCGACTGCCGCTTGCCGTTTCGCCGATTGCTATGAGACCAAATGCACACACACGCATACATATAAATATATATATATATATGTGTAGTGGTTTAAAGATATGAAAACGACGCTCTCTTACACACAGGCAGGTCCAGAGCCAGGAACTGGCAGTCAGCAGGCAGCTGACAACCCAGTCACATACTCTGCGCCAGCTCTCGGCCTTTCTCTCTCCCCATCACTCATTCGCTTGCTTTCTTGCTCTCGTTGTGTTATGCTCTCTCGCCAAGACAGCATCCGAAAGCGCGGCTGTAGCCAAAACGTGCCCCACATCAAATTGCTGAGCAGCCACTATCGACGCATGCCCGAGCAGCGGTGACCGAAAACGCGCCCAAACTTGGTTACTTGGCGAAACTGGAA